CAGAACCTGCTCTGGGAAGGTAAGTGAGTCAGGGTTGCCTGTGTGTTTGGCTTGCTGAGGGTTGTTTAGTGGATTATGTGTTTGGGCGGGTGCTCTGAGTAGCTAAGAGGGCTGACTGTTGATTGATTGCTGCTTGGGTGTGACAAGAGGCCCTAACAAAGGGGCCAATCCAGGCTCAGGAGGGGCATGTAAAGAGATATTCCAAGTGACTAAGGGAGCAGCAAACCAGGAGAGCAAACAGGGCAGTTTGCAAGCAGTTCACAGGTCAGCTTGCTGCCCCCCTCTTTGAAGGGGAGCCTGTAAGGTAAGATTTTTTTCTGTCTTTTTTTTATATGTAATTAAGACTGACTCACCTACATAGTTTTATTTTAAGCAGCTGAAACTCAGCAGTTAGATCAATACATAAGCCTCTCATTTAACTAGAGTCCAGAGTGAGGGGGAGTTTGCTAGGGCATTTGCTTGGAAACTCGTTCTATCATACCTTTTTCACATGCCTTCACTGTAAGCTTTCTGAGAAGAAAGAGGTTTGCAGGGAAAAGGGCGTCCTTCAGGATCAAGGAATAGTAAACAGGCCAGCTACAGAGGAGTTTGCTAGGGAAGGTCTGCCTGGAAATAGAGGCAGGAGGTGAGAAGCAGCAGATTAGAAGACCCAGAGACGTGGCTGGAGGCGTGGGTGACTGGTGCCTCCCGAGTCTGAGGAGGCACCATATAACTGACTTGGGGGAGGTCTCCCAATGGCCAATTGCTGGTGAAACTGGAATTTCTGGTTTTGTGGCTGGTGCTTCCAGGGGGTGCATGGCTGATCTCAGGGGGTGCACATGCATCCATGTGCAACCCCTACACATTGCCAATGGCTGGAGGACCTCACAATCCCAGAGCCACTGCCACTTCCAGGTCTTCCTCTGCTTGCACCTGAAAGTGTCTGTCCAGGTAGGACCACACACCATTGAAGCTTACACCCAGGTCCTAGTTTGGTGCTACAGAAACTGCAGCTTGCAGTTTCTTTCTAGTGACAGCCAGGTGGGGGAGTGCCTGCGGTGTGAGTGTGCCTTCTGGTGGTGTCCCTCAGGGAGAAGGCAAGATAGCTACAGGAGGAGGAAGCAAGGCTTCAAAGCATCCTCTGCCATGAGGACTACATTGATTCCATGGTGGAGAAAACCTCCACCACTGTTCAAGAAGGACTGCCAGAGGCAGCGCTCAGAAAGGAAGAGGGCATGGACTCCTAGGAAGGTGGAATCTGGAAGATTGTGACCTCTGGCAGCAAGAACAAGTCGTCATCCCAATTTGCTGCAGTTTGACTGGAGAACTGATATAGAACCCTAGCAACAGAGGAGGAAGAGCAGATTCCATTGATGGAAGAGCCCAGGCCAGGAATCCCCAGGGTGGGGAGGATGGAGACCACTGTCATGAAGAAGAAGGAATGGGCAGTGGTGGTTGCAGACTCCTTTCTGCAGAGGAAGGATGGATCCATCTGGTGGCCTGAAATGTTGTCCTGGGAAGTCTTCTGCTTGCCTGGAGCCAGGGGCAATGTGTAGCCAGGCTGCACTCCCTGTGTGCAGGCAGGCAGGGGGAAGGTGGGAGTACCAGTGGCGCCCCCCCCCCCCCCAGCAAGTGCTGGCCGGGAAGTGGGGTGACCAGCAAAAGTGCTTGTGCCACTTCTGGAAGTGGTCGTGGAACTCCGGAAGTGGCGTGGCCACTTTTACTGTGAGTGAGATCAGCACCCTGGCCAGTGGGATCAGCCACTGGCGCACCCCCGTCCCCCAGCCAGCGGGATTGGCTGCCGGGGGACCCCTTCCCCCCCAGTTGCTGACTCAAGAGGCACCAGACACTCATGCCTGGAGCCTGGATCCAGGATGCCACAGAAGGATTGTTGAGATTTGTCCAATTCTCTGACTGCTACCGCATGTTGCTCATTTGCATGGGCACCAATGATATTACCCGGGTGACCCTGAGCAGATCAAGACTGACTACAGGACTCTGGGTCCAAGGGTGAAAGGGATGGGGGCACAGGTGGTGTTCTTTTTGATCCTTCCAGTCAAGGAGAAGGGCCTTGGCAGGAGTGGACGCATCCTGAAGATGAATGCATGGCTGTACAGGTGGTGTTGCCAGCTGGGATTCAGCTTTTTTGACCCTCGAATGTTGTTCCAAGAAGGATTGCTAGGTAGAGATGGGATTCACATGACAAAAAGAGTGAAGAACAACTCAGACAGGCTTGGCAACCTAGTGAGGAGGGCTTTAATATAGGTTTTCTTGGGGATGGAGATCAAAGCCCTGAGGTACGTGGGGAAGCAGGAAACTTGGAGGAAGCACAAGAAAAGGGTAACAGGGGAGGCCTTCTGATTCTTACTGAGAAAGTTGGGCAATCGGCTAGTTACTTCAAGTGTCTGTACATGAATGCACAGAGCCTGGGAAATGAGCAGGAAGAATTGGAAGTCTCTGCACAGTTATAGAACTATGATGTGATTGGAATAACGGAGACTTGGTGGGATAGCTTGTATGATTGGGGCACTGTCATGGATGGGTCCGAACTGTTCAAAAAGGACAGGAGGGGGAGAAGAGGAGGAGGAGTTGTGCTATATATAAAAGAGCTGTATGATTGGTCAGAGCTTCAGTATGGAACTGGAAATAGGCCTGTTGAATGTCTCTAGGTTAAGGATAGAGGGGACAGCAACAAGGGTGATGTAATGGTGGGTGTCTCCCATAAACCACCAGGCCAGGAGGGTGAGGTAGGTGAGACTTTCTTCAGGCAACTACCATAAATTTCCAAATCACAGGCCCTAGTTCTCATGGAGGACTTCGGTCACCCTGACATATATAGGAGGGTAATATAATAGTGTATTGGTGATCTAGGAAATTTTTGGAGAACACTGGAGAGAACTTCTTGGTATAAGAGTTGGAGAGACCAGGTAGGGGCTATGCTCTCCCTGTTCTGCTGCTCTCAAACAGGGAAGAATTGGTGGGGGATGTAGAAGTGGATGGCAGGTTGGGCAGCAGTGACCATGAGATGACTGAGTTCAGGATCCTGACAAATGGAAGAAAGGAGAGCAGCAGAACAAAGACCATAGACTTCAAAAGAGTGGACTTTGATTCCCCCAGGGAACTGATGGGCAGGATCTCCTGGGAGGCCTGTCTGAGGGGGAAAGAAGTCCAGGAGAGCTGGCTGTATTTCAAAGAAACCTTACTGAGGGTGCAGGAACAAACCATCCCAATGTCCAGGAAGAATAGCATGTATGGCAAGCGACCAGCTTGGCTTAACAGAGAGCTGTTTGAGCTTAAACACAACAAGGAAGCTTAAAAGAAGTTGAAACTTGGACAGATGTCTAGGTAGGAGGATAAGAGCATCGCTCAGGTATGCAAGGAGGAAATTAGGAAGGCCAAAGTGCAACTGGAGTTCTAGCTAGCAAGGGATGTAAGGAGTAACAAGATGGGTTTCTACAAGTATGTTAGCAACAAGAGGAAGGTTGGGGAAAGTTCGGGTCCCTTATTGAATGGGGGAGGCAACCTAGTAACATAATGATGAGGAAAAGGCTGAAGTCCTCAATGCCTTTTTTACCTCAATCTTCATGGGCAAGGTCATCTCCCAGACCACTGCGCTGGGCAGCACAGTTTGGGGAGAAGGTGAATAGCACTTACTGGTGAAAGAAAAGGTTAGGGTCTATTTAGAAAAGCTGGAGATGTACATGTCTATGGGGCTGGATGTAATGCATCCATGGGTGCTGAGGTTGTTGGCTGATGTGATTACAGAGCTGTTTGCCATGAGTTTTCAATCATAATGGCCATTGGGGAAGTCCTGGATAATTGGAAAAGGGCAAACATAGTGCCCATCTTTAATAAGGGGAAGAAGGAGGATCCAGAGAACTGCAGACCAGTCAGTCTCACCTCAGTTCCTGGAAAAATCATGAAGTAGGTCCTCAAGGAATCAATTTCTAAGCACTCGGAGGAGAAAAATGTGATCAGTCATCATGGATTCACCAAGAGCAGGTCAGGCCTGAACAATCTGATTTGCATTCTATGTTGTGATGACTAGCTCTGTGGATGCAGCGAAGCAGTGGACATGATATACCTTGACTTTAGAAAGGATTTTGATACTGTGTCCCACAGCATTTTTGCAAGCAAGCTAAGGAAGTATGGGTTGAATAATGAATGGACTGTAAAGTGGATAGGAAGCTGGGTGGTTCCTCGGGCTCAATGGGTAGTGATCAATGGCTCAATGTTTAGCTGGCAGCTGGTATCAAGTGGCATGACCCAGGGGCGGTTTTTGTTCAACCTCTTCATTAATGATAGGGAAGATGGGATGGAGTGCACCCTCAGCAAATTTGCGAATGACCATGTTGGGAGGAGTAGTAGGTTTGCTGGAAGGTAGAGCTAGGATTCAGAGCAACCTAGACAAATTGGAGGATTGGGCCAAAAGAAATCTTATGAGGTTCAACAAGGACAAGTGCAAAGTCCTGCACTTAGGATGGAACAATCCCAGGTACCACTACGGGCTTGGGGCCAACTGTCTAAGCAACAGCTCTGCAGAAAAGGATCTGGGGGTTGCAGTAGACAATAAGCTGGATATGAGTCAACAGTGGGCCCTTGTTGCCAAGAAGGCTAATGGCATACTGGGCTGCATCAGTAGTAGCAGCATTACAAGCAGACTGAGGTAAGTAATTATTCCCCTGTATTCTGCACTGATGAGACTTCATCTGGAGTACTGTGTCCAGTTTTGGGCCCCCCACTGTAGAAAGCATGTGGACAAATTGGAGAGAGTTCAGTGGAGGGCAATGAAATGATGTGGGGGCTGGGGCACATGACTTCTAAGGAGAGGCTGAGGGAACTGGTCTTATTTAGTCTGGAGAAGATAAGACTGAGGGGTGATTTAATAACAGCCTTCAACTACCTGAAGCAGGTTTGAAAGCAGATGGAGCTAGACTGTTCTCAGTGGTGGCAGATGAGACCACTGCTCCTTCTTCTGTCAAGTGCAGTGAGGGAAGTTTAGGTTGGATACTAGAAAAAACTTTGGTAAAGTACTGGAATGAGTTACCTGGAGAGGTCATAGAATCTCCATCCTTGGAGGTTTTTAACGCCCAGCTTGACAAAGCCCTGGCTGGGATGATCTAGTTGGGGATGGTCCTGCTTACAGCAGAGGGTTGGACTAGCTGACCTCCTGAGGTGCCTTCCAATGCTCATTTTCTATGATTCTATGAAATCTTTCAGTTTATAAAACAATCCAGTTAAATCAGCATAGCTGCTGTGTGCAGAGCAGCTTGTAGTCTGATTTTTCTTTTTTCTTTCTTTAAAAAAACAAAACAAAAAACTATAATAACATCCTCATACCATGCTTTGTGAATTCTTCATTTACTTGAAATAAGCAAAATGTGTGCACTAAATTATTACATTTGACTTGCTTCCATTTGCATGGCACAGTTTTCTGTGCACATGGCTATGGGCAAAGCTTTACTTTTGGAAATGTTTTCACCATGTCTGTCTGAACCTTTGTTTAATGTATTCTTTTAGTATGATTAGAACAGCCGTAGAATGCCATTTTTCTAGAATCCTGAATGTTTACTTCTGCAGGTAAGGTTATTATGGGTATGATGGAATGATGCCTTTAGTCAAGTGTAGATCTTATCTTCCCATGTAACAAGGTAGCCTAATGAAATGAGTTTTATTCAAAGACCTTGTCTCATAACACTTCAGGAAAACATGATAAATTGAATGATTCTTTTAGCAAATGCATCACACAAAGCACTGGCATATTGCTTATGAAGTTTAATTTTGTAATGGTTCATGGGGGATAATATACCTGCAGCCATTCCACTGGAATGAATCTTACAGGCTCATTACAAAAGCAGAAGTGTTGTTCCAAAATATTGCTGTTCTTGTTGAACGGTAGCTGGGATTCAGTGCAATTTGCATGTTTAACCTCTGAGGCATCATTGTATTGTGATTCTTAATTTTTTTCTTTTATTGTGCTGTTATTATGAACTAGCACAAAATACTCTACTATTTAAGTAGTAGGAGTCTTGGTTTTATAGTGGTTTCAGAGATGAAGTTTGGCAGACAAAGTTTTTAAGACTAGCAACTATTTACTGTTTTTAGATATTTTTACTAAACTAAAGTTTGGTTATTTAACAGTTATAAGAACGTAAAATAAATCAAAGGTCATTTGGAAGCAGTGTACCTGTATTCAGGGTGGTGCCAGGGCAGTCTAATTTGAACTTGCCTCCAAGCTAATTAGTCAACTTGCAATATCATGCAGATGCAGCTACACTGCTTAGAGGGCAGCCTGCCTGGAGCATTGTTTGAGGATGCACAATGAGGGCCCGTGCTGTTGACCATGTAGTCATGGCCTAAATGAGGTATTTATATGGCTCCATTTTGTACTGAGCTTAATCCTGTATTCCTGTATTTATCCCCTCAAAAACTGTGGAAGTGCTGTTGTTTCCATAGGGTAGATTGTGAATTGAGGCACAGCGCCTCATGTTCAGATCCATAAAGGGATGTAGTTGTTGAAATACCTATGTAGATATGGTTTAAGGATATGCCTTTGCTGATACTTAGGGGCGACTTAAAGATCATCCTGAACCAGTCCAAGCCATGTGAGCTGCATTTCCCCAGCTGCATGCTGCCATGTAGCCTCTCCCAAAGCCATTAAATTGAGTTCCATATTTCTTGGGCATGTCATTAGGATGTGCTCCCTGAACAAGGCCTGCTGGGAATCTGTCTGCAGATTATGTCTCTCTTTCCAAGTGACAGAAAACAAGAGGTGTGGTGTATAAGGGCCTGAAGATCGGAACAAGACATTGTGGGACTGTGGCTGGCGGACTTT